ATAATTTTAATAAATTAATTAACTAAATCAAAATTAATATTTATATTTTTAACAAAAATTAATTATAAAAAAATGAATTTCTTATACTCTTATTATGCGATAAAAGATAGAAAAATTCAAATAAAAATAGGAAAAGAGTGAACTTTTTACGCTCCATATTGCGCATGCATGTGATGAAGGCTGTAGAACCTCTCCTTTTGTTTCTTCTAAGCTTTTCCTTCGGCCCATTGTGAAAATCATGCAAAGCAAGGATCCAAAGCAAAGTACAGGTTAGAGCCTTTAAATAAAGCAAGATAAAAATGTAGGGCTAACCCCTTGTTTTTTTGACTCCTTTTTAGCTTAGAGCAAAAAATGAACAAATTTTAAAAGAAAGTAGAAAGAGGATTGATAAAGTCCAAGTACAGATATTACCACGCTGTGTTCTAACTTCTAAGGTCATTTTGCTCACTTTTTCTCAAATTCAATAGTCCTAACTAGCTTCATTTTGAGAAAATGTGTCCAAAATTCATCATTAATATTTCTTTATTGAAAATTTTCTAATTTTTTGTCATCCATGTCTTGTGCAAAGCTCTAACCATGAATAGATTAAGAAAGAGAAATTGAAATAAGATGAAGAAAAATATCTACGTCAAATTGTCAATCCATTTTGTCATGTCATACATATCAATCACAAACTTCAAGAACACCAGATCTTCCTTAATGCAAACTCATCCTTTGTTTGATACTCTCCATGCGTCTCCCATTGGGTTCAATGAGATGAGTGGTTGATTTCATGGGTTCTCAATTGTTTGGGTAGTTTCATGATCCTATGCTGTAGATATCTTCAGTTGCTTCAATATTTGAAAATCCCGAAGATGTTTCATCGAAAAAAACACTCCGACATTTAAGTTAGTAATACTTGATATTCTAAAAAAAGATACTCTCAAGAAGTAATTGTAAAGAGAGAAGCGTAATTGATAATACCTTGAATGGAGGTAGTTAGAGAGTATTTATAACCTCATGTGCTGATATGAGTCTATATATGTATACATCCGATTGGTTCACGTGTTACTATCTACACCCATGTGGGTGTATCTCTTTATTTTGGGCCTATGAATGTAGAACTGGACCTGTTATACATGACGGCCTGTTGTACATTACCAGAATTGAATGTTGGGCCTATTCTCAACATTAATGAAGAAGAATGAAGAAGAAGAAAGTAGTCGGTAGAGATAGATGATTACATAGCTTAGCCGAGAGGAAGAGGTTGATTGTGCTTGCCAAAGCTGAGAGACAAGAAGAGAGGTCAAGTAGAAGAGAGGGAGATGATAGTTGATGGATCTGGTTGCTCCAAAACTGGAGTTTCTAAAGAAGTGAGGAGAAGGATGGGATCGGCGGATTGGTGGTAGCGCAGAGAATGAAGACTGGAGATAGCAACAAAAAAGAAAAAGAAAACCACCCATGTTGGAAGGTGCAAAGATGAAGAAACCACCATCCTTTGGTTTCGGTAAACAACGGGAATGAATCTGACAAGCTGGGGCTGAAACTGAAAGAAAGCGTATAAGGCTGGACTTAAAGCCCACTTATAGCCCACGTTGGTTGGGCCTCAAGATTCTAATTAAATGTATTAACTAATAAATAAAATTCAATGTTACACGTTACTTTTGTATAAAATTTTAATTATCTATTTTTTTATTTTTAATAATTAAAATTTACTTAGATTTCACTTTAAAAGTTGAAATTTATTTAGATTTATTAAAGATAATTATTTTTTATTTAAAAAGTAGTAATAAATGTTAACTGTTAAAAGTGAAGAGTTGAATAATTAATATTTTATATAAATGTGATATGTAAAATTTATGTGCAAGTGAATCCATTCTCTTAATTTGATATTTTTACAATTTTGTAATTTTTATATTAAGGATTTATTTATATATGTCTTATACACCACACTTATATAATATTTTAACTATTCATTTTTTCACTTTCAATAATTAAGATTTATTACAACTTTTTAAATAAAAAACATAATTATCTTTAATAAAATGGATAAAAAATGAATAAATTTTAATTATTAAAAATGAAAAGATGAATGATTAAAATTTTATGTATAAAATTTTATGTAAGTATTGTGTATAAAATTTATGTGTAAGTGAATTTCTATTCTTTTATATTTTTATTGAATTTTAAATTTTTATCAATTTTTTTAAAAAATTATATGAAAATTAGATAAAAAAATTCAGATTATGACAATAAAGTAGCATGGGTTGAGTCAAAATGAGTTGCAAGTTAGACCCTCACTTGACCATAATAATCTAGTAGGTCATGGGTCAACTTTTGGTTAAACCTATATTTATTTATTTTTTCAAATTCTCTTATGCCATTCTTAACAGAAATCAATGAAATGTAATCTTAAAATTTGTTCTTAAAATGGCACGTGAGACACATGTCAATTCTCACCAATGAGGTTGAGGGTAATATTTTGGGCAAAAGAAATTATAAAGATGTACAGAAGTATAGGAATACCTAAGAGTTAAACCAAACATGTCATTGAAAATGATGAAAATTTCGCACCAAATGAATGCTTAACAGCATCACAGTGATACATAAATATCATTAAAATAAACTTGTAACTTGTAATGGTGGTAGTTCGAGGTCAAGTACCTCGGGCGGTCCAATCTACTCCCAACAACCTAGTCACCTCAACGTCAGGGAACAACGAGCTCAGTCGAGTTCGAGCTTGTCCCCTTTGCTCCTATTCTACAGTGACTCTATACATACACAGATCTTTCAGGAGGGTTTTATGCGATCATTGACACATAATTTTGATTGCCAATGAAGAACAACATGTGGATGCCCCCTTTGAAGGTTATAAATACCCCTCAAGGGTCCTCAAAAGGTAATCGAAACTGAACTCAAGCTCAGCTCTTGATTCATATCTGGTAGCTCCGATTATTGCTAACTTAGGCATCAGAGTGTTTACCCCGAGGACGCACCTCGGGGCTTTGTAAGCTGACCAAAGTGAAGATTTGAGCTCAAGAGTACTTGGGAGTTCTTTTGCAACTACATTGGCACTGTTTGTGGGAAACTGAGCTAAAAGCCTTGCTACTAGCTGCTACGATGGTTAACACGTGTTCAACGCAACATGGAAGCCCCCAACAAGGCTGAGGAAGAGGTCAATTCCCTAGTGGAAATCTTACGTCTCACGCCGTGCCACCTCTTATCGTCCAATACCAACACGTGGAAGGAACTAAGGAGAATAACTTACACCCAATAGAGATCCCAAATGACCTCATAGCCACCTAGCTCAACGCTATGCAACAACAGTTCGGTGTGTTTTAGCTTGTGCTTGCACAGTTGTTAGCTAGAGACAACTCAGGTGACCCCTCATCACCCTATTAAATCTAACCAACCAAGCACCCAATCACCAGTCTCAACAAAATGTCAATTCACTAGCTCGAACTGTCGTCTCGCCTCAGAGCGAGTCCCAAGGCCACTCCCACATGGCACCTCCACCTCCACAACCACCCCAACCAATTGCCTTAGATGTTTCCAAGAGACTAGACAACCTAGAAAGAATGGTGGCCGAGAATCGAAATCCCCAACAGCCGGCCCAACCCAGTTCTACCCCAATCCCTACCCCCCTTAATACTAACATCCTCTAAGAACCATACCCATATGGATTCAAAATGCTCCAGTTCGAGACGTACGATGGCATTAAAGACCCTAATGATCACTTGCACACATTCTGCTTTGTTATGTAAGCTCAAAACGCCTTAGATGCCTTGATGTGCAAAATATTTCCCTCTACATTGCGTGGAAATGCTCGGACTTGGTACTATAGTCTGCAGCCAAACTCAATCAGTTCGTATGCCGAGCTGCGACATCTTTTGCAATGAAGTTCTCAAGTTGACAGTTGATCAGAAAGACGACCTTCGAGCTCATGCGGGTGGCCCAAAGGAAAGGTGAATCTCTAAAGAACTACATGAACATATTCAACTATGCTATACTGGAGATCGGCTCATTCAATGAAGCCATGGGTTTAGCTGCCATAATCTAGGGGCTTAAGCATGAGAGGTTCTGAGATAGCCTAATAAGGCACCCCCCACCACGTTTGATGAAGCCAATAAAAGATCTTGGAAGTTTATTCAAGTCGAAGAATACACCTTGTTCGATAGGCCAACACCGAGTAAAGAGGTCAGACCTTTGACATGGAGAGATGAAGTGCAGAACAAGAAGAGATTCAAAATGGCACAGAACCGAGGTCCATTCCCCACTAAAGTTGACAAGTCTAGCCCGACCACTCCATAACCTATGACAAAGCAGATTACTTCGACTCCGTTCACACTGCCGAGGTCATAGATCCTGATGCAGATCAAAAACAAAATGGAGCTCAGAAGGCCCCCACCTATGCAGAGTTTACCTATCTTCAAAGATCACAATAGATGCCACGATTTCCATCAGGATCACAGACACACCATGGAGGAATGTCACAATTTGAAATCCGAGCTCAAGGGTTTAGCTTGGAAAAGGATGTTGAATGATTACATCTCTAACAAAGACCAGCTTAAGTTCGTTTGAGAGCAAGGATGACCTCAAGAATCTCTGGATGCAACGAACAAAATGGGGGTTAGCTATCAGCAATCACCACCTGTTCTCCCTCCACCTTCACACATCATTCACATGATAATCGATGGGCTAGAAGCCAGAGGGACGAGCTCAAAACAACAGAAGCTATATGTGAGAGAGGTAAAGCATCAAAATCGAGCTTAAAAGAGAAAGTTTGATGAGGCAAACTGAAAGAATTAACCTATAACCTTTAGCTTAGTTGATTTTGATGATTAGTCACGGCACACAATGACCCGCTTGTCACCTTGGTCATTGTCAATAATTGTGAAGTTCAACGTATCCTTGTCGACACAGGAAGTGCTCTAGATATCATGTACTATCACTACATTAAGAGTCTTGGCCTCGACCACGCCTTTCTACAAAAATATGATGGCTCTATCTATGGTTTCAATAATCAGTCAATCCCTGTGGAAGGAGTCCTGAAGCTCAATGTAGCGTTCAACTCAGGTCGGACATATGTCACTCCCTCAGTTTGGTTTTTAGTAGTGAAGATGCCATCATCTTTTAACAGCATCATCGAAAGACCAACTTTAATCGAGATTCGAGCTGTTGTTTCACAGTCCCACCTCTACATGAAATTTCCCACCCCCATGGGAGTAGCGACTCTAAAAGGCAACCAATAGGTGGCTAGGCATTGCTACATGACTTCGGTCTCCCAACCTTGGAAGGATAAGCAAGTAACCCCTCCAACTCCAACTCCAACTCAGCCTGAAGTCCCAACTGTACAACAGGTAATGGGTGTAGACTTGCCAGATAATAGACCTGATGATGAGGCTAGAGCCACCCCAATAGAAGAAGTAGAAGAGGTAGGGCTTGACCATAATGACCCCACTAAGAAAACACAAATTGGGACCAAACTGGACTTGAAAGAGAGGGAAGAGCTCATCAACTTTCTGAAGTCAAACCGAGATGTATTCGCTTGGACCTCGACTGATATGACCAGGATACCCATTTCTGTTACAGTACACAAGCTAAGTACCAATCTTATGAAGAACCCCTAGCTCAAAAAAGGTACCTATTACAAGGGAGAAAGGTTGCAAGGAATCAAGGAAGAGGTGCAGAAGCTTTTGCAGGCAAGGTTTGTAAGAAGAGTAAACCATTGCGAATGGGTCACTAACCCTGTTTTAGTCAAGAAGTCAAACGACAAATGGCGAATGTGCATTGATTACACAAACCTAAATGAAGCTTGCCTGAAAGACTGCCATCCCTTACCAAGTATAGACAAGCTGGTAGAGGCCGCATTTGGGAATAAAGGGCTTAGCCTTTTAAATGCTTACTTGGGATATCACCAGGTCCACATGGCACCCAAGGACGAGGTGAAAACCTCCTTCTACGCCGGTGATTAGATCTATTGTTATGTGATGATGCCATTTGGACTCAAGAATGCAATGGCTACATACTAAAAAATGGTGACGATTGTATTCTGAGCTCAAATCAGTAGGAATTTAGAAGTCTACGTTGATGACATAGTGGTTAAGAGCCTCAAAGTAAAAGATCATTTGATTGACCAGGGAGAGACATTTGATAACTTCAGAAAACACAATATGAAGTTAAACCCGGCCAAGTGCGTCTTTGGGGTTGAATTTGGTAAATTCCTAGGATTATTGGTCTCTATGAGGGGAATAAAGGTAAATCCTGAGAAGATAAAGGCAATAGAAGAGATGAAACCACCAAAGTTAATCAAAGATGTACAACGCTTAATTGGGCGGGTGGCAGCTCTGCATAGATTCATTTCAAAGGCGGTTGATAAATGCTTGCCTTTCTTTAAAGTCTTGAGGTATGCAGCACAGAAAGATGAAACAAGGAAGCCCAAGAAGTTTAAATGGACCTTGAAATGTCAAACTTCCTTTGACGAGCTTAAAGCATACCTTAGCTCGCCACCTTTGCTAACCAAGGCTAAAGAAGGGGAGATTCTTTATCTCTACCTCGGGTTATCAGATACAACGGTGAGCTCAATTTTGATCAGAGAAATGGGGTAGCTACAGAGGCTAGTTTATTATGCTAGCAAAGTGTTATAGGGGGCTGAGTTGAGGTACTCCATAGTAAAAAAAGCAGCTTTTGCAATTGTCACTACAACAAGGAAGCTGAGGCCATATTCAGGCCTACCCCATTATTATCCTAACTGACCAACCTCTGAGGCAGATTTTGCAGAATCCAGAATGTTCAGGCAGACTCATCAAGTGGGTAATGGAGTTAGGAGAATTTCAGATTACATTCCAATAGAGCTCATTAATCCAAGCTCAAGCTTTAATAGACTTTGTGGTTGAATGCACTTCTAACCAAGAAAACACCAATGCCGAAGTCGAACTATGGACTCTTTATGTGGATTGGGCATCTAACAGTAAAGGGTCAGGTGCTGGGGTAGTGTTGATTAGACTTGAGAATTTCTAAAGTGAGCATGCTCTGAAATTCAACTTTGAAGCAACCAACAACATAGCTGAATATGAGGCCCTTCTTCTCGGACTTTGTTTAGCTGCAGAATTAAAAGTCAGATCTTTGCTGGTATACAATGACTCCCAACTTATGGTCAACTAGGTAAATTCCATATGTGAGGTCGCAAATCCTGTTTTAGCCAAATACCTAGCTATAGTTTTTGAGCTGAGGTGTTGATTTGAGAGATTCGAACTCACAAAAGTCATGAGGTCAGAGAATGAACATACAAATTCTCTATCGAAGTTGGCCTTTGATAACTCTCGAGGTGGAAGATTTGTCTACGTCGAGGTCCTTAACGAACCAAGTGTTCAGAAGTCAAAGGTGATAGAAGTCAGTATTGATCCTGAAACTCCAAGCTAGATAAACCTTATCAAGGCCTATCTACAAGATGGAACCGTCCCAGGTGACAAACAAGGAGAGATGAAGCTGCGGAGAAAAGCATCTAGGTACACCTTGCTTGACGGTATCTTGTACAAGAGGTTATACTCGCTTCCTCTTCTTTGCGGCTTAAGCCCATATGAGGCCGAATATGCCTTTCGCGAGGTGCATGAAGGTGTCTGTGGAAGTCATATCAGAGCTCGGACTTTGGCTTACAAAGTAGTTTGCCAAGGATATTATTAGCCCAATATGCAAGAATATGCCAAGAAATATGTTTAAAAGTGCTAGAAGTGCCAATTCTTTGCACACCTCACTGACCAACCAACAGAAGAACTCACTAACTTGGTTGCACCATGGCCCTTTGCCCAATGAGGGATATATCTGGTAGGTCCATTTGTCAAAGGTGTGAGGGGAGTAACACACTTGGTCGTGGCAGTTGATTACTTTACGAAGTGGGTAAAAGCTCGACCTCTATCCAGTTTGACCTCGAAAAAGATCGAAGATTTTGTTTTTAGTTCGGTCATCTATAGGTACGAAATACTGAATCAGATTGTCATTGATAATGGGCCTCAGTTTAATTGCACCTCCTTTAGGGATTTCTACTATAGTTATACAATCAAATTGGTGTTTACTTCAGTTTATCATCCTGAGATGAACGGAATGCTAGATTCTGTAAACAAAGTTATTCTGGAAGGGATTAAGCCGAGGTTGGACCAACTCAAAGCCAAGTGGGTAGACGAGCTCAACAATGTCTTGTGGGCTTACCTAACTACCAATCGGACGGCCACAGGATGCTAATAGTTCTACTTTCCTCATCCAAAGTCATAAATAATTATGTTAAATAAACTTGTGAACCACAATTTTTTAATTAAATAGGCGAAACGCCTTATCACTTGGCTTTTGGGACTGAGGCAGTTATTCCTATTAAGGTCGGTGTCTCGAGTTTGAGAGTTAGCCATTTTGACCCAACACAAAATGACCTACCACTCCGAGAAAACCTAAGCAGAGGATAGCTAGCTTTTACAATAAATGAGTCTGGCTTTGAAGTTTCAAGATCAGTGACCTCGTCCTTAGGAAGGCAGGACTCACTAGTTTCGAAACCCATTTTGGTAAGCTAGCACTGAACTGGGAAAGCTCATATGTAATAGTTGAAATGCCCCACCTCGGCGCTTATGTACTTCAAGACGCCAAGGGTAAAAGGGTCCTTAGAATATGGAATGTAAACAATTTAAAGAAATTTTACTCCTAATAAAGCGTAGTCTTATCCAGTCATAAGGATTACGATTTTTGAAGTCGAGGTTGGGTACTTACGTCTACCTCGGATTAAATATGAAATAGCCAAGTTACACATTTAATATATTTATTTTTGAAGTTGAAGTTAGGACCTCACTTCAGTTCTGGTCGTGATCTTATCCTTAATTTCTAGGGTTACATTTCTAGTTTAATGAGCTCGGTTTAATTTTACTTATGCCTTATCCAGACGTCAGAAGTCATGCATTCACATTAAAATCGTAAATAAGAATAAATTTTTGAAATTAAAATTTTATTCATTCTATAATAAAAATATAATATCTTTGAATTACATCAAAATTTTTTTTAAAAAAAAGAAAAGTTGGCTGAAATCAATCGATCACCAGATGCTATTGATCCACCTCTTGCTCAGCAGCATTCTCTCCGACCTTGGTATTTGTAGGAGCCTCAACCTAATCTTCGTCACGGCAATGAATTCGTATTCCAAACGTGGGGGAAGCACAGTTTGTCCAGCCTCATCCTGCTCCCAATTGAAAGTTACATTTGGTAGAACTCGACTGTTTTGCTTTCCCCATCCTTCTCCACCCAACCTCTTGAGGTCCGAAGGTGATTTTGTCATGTCGACCTTAGGATTCGAGCCTTCACCTTTTTCCGGCAATCGTTGAACACCATCACAAGTGTAGGCATGCGGAAGAGGTCCACAATCTCTGAGAACATTGCCGAATTGATGAAGTCAGAGACATGCTGCTTAATCGAGTTGTGCACCTCGAACTCGAATTTCTTCTACACCTCGGCAAACTCTTCTCGCGCCTTGGCTAGCTCCTCCTTGGTCTTCCTCCTCTTCTCCACCTCAACCTCGGTGGCCACCTGGGCAGAAGCCAACTCCGCCCTAACCTTCTTGAGCTCCGAGGTTAGGTCATTGAAGTTTTGCTCAGCCGATTGCTTTTGCTGGTTGAGCTCCTCATTCTTCTCAACTAGGTTGTTCATTTCCTTGAGGCAATCGTAGTACTTAACTGCCAAGGCGTTTATGACATTCACCGTCTCCAAGAAGAGTCAAGGTCAAAAAAATAAAAAAAAAACTAACTAAACCAACTGTAGTTCAAGCTCTTACCTCAAGCGCATGGCGTATAACGCTCGACCCCCCATGCTCTTCGACCTCATGCCGGGCTCTTTGGAGATCCACCTCAGGAAAAGTGGATCTAATGAAGCGCTTAGCAACAGTCTTGCTTGTACTTTCATAAAAGCTCAACTTTTGCCTCGGGATAAGGGACTTCTTCCTCTTCCTATGTGTCATCACCCCTACTTCACGTAAAGATGGTTCAATCTACATTGATGGAGGTTGGGGCACAAACTTAATCAAGGCATCGGGCTGAGGCTGTTGCACCTCCTCCACCCTCCTCCTCTTGTGGGTTGCAACCTCCTCAGCCTTCTTTCTCCCTTGCTTCGAGTTGGGCGCCACTTCAGCTTGAGCCCCTCTACTTGGGCGGGACCTCAAAGTCCCACCCACTACCCTCTCCCTCACAGACGGAGCAACTGAAGCCTTTGACCTCTTCTCAAGCAAGGTAAGGTCTTCCCTCCAAACATAAGCTAATTCATTTCTCCTACAATATGAGAAAGAATTAGTAAAATGTTCATTTTATACTTCGGGCATGCTTAAGAGTAAATAAACCGACCTCCACTCATGGAGCTCAGCCTATAGATCTTTATCGCCTCTAACATCGCCGGGCTAGTTAGATACATAATATCCATTACCTCCCCACCTCTTCTCTCCAACCTCTCCACCTCATCCTGCCCCCCCAAACTTAAGGAATACTAGTTAGGGCTATCCCTCTTCCTCTTCCATTTACAAAGCTCAGCCACCTTCGCATCTGACTTCCCCCTCTTTGTATCGTTCATAAAGAAAAACTTATCTTTCCACCCCTTTATGGATGAAGAACCTACGCTGAACATGTTCCTCCCTACCCCCCTAGGCACCAAAGGTGTGAAGTAGAACCACCCTTTCTCTTTATTACTACCCCACTTTATTAAGAAAAAAATATTTGAAGATGTTGATCGTAGGCACAACACTTCGAGTTCAGCAATAGACTAAGAATCCTAAGATTAGCTGAACAACGTTTGGGATGAGCTGCGTCATTCTTAGCCTGTACTCCACCAGCAACGCTACTAACAGCTTGGGCACTAAAAACCTAAGCCCACCCGTCAAGTAGTGCCTGTATACTAGCATCCAATGGTCCTTTGAAGCCGAGCATGCTCGTTCCATCTCCCCAGTTGGGCTAAGTAAGACATGCCCTGGGATGGAATAATGCTCCACTAAATGGCCAATATCACTTCTACTCCTCCACAAACCCTCATATCTCACCACCTCCGAAACCACCTCCTCTTCCTCATTGTAGTACTTAGCCTTACTGTGATCTGCCTTTAACACATTGGAAGGAACCCCCACCTCCTCCATTTCACCTCCAACCCCCTCATTCCCTCCACTCCTAGAGCTTTCCACTCCATTCCTAGAGCTTTCCACTTCACTTCCGCTGGTTGAGCTCAACTCCTGCTCCCCCTCTCCACTTCCAATACTCAGTGTCTCTTCTAAAGACATCTTTCGTGACTTACTACAAGTAGGATGGGGAGAACAGTTAAGATCCTGAACTAATTCCCTCACTCTCTACTTCGATCTCAGACCCATTCCTAATGTTCCCTACCGACTTAGTCTTAGGTTTGAAACGAGTTAGATTAGATATTGAAATCAGAAGTCAAGCTCAAGAGATTACCTAAACTTGTGGTGGTCGAACTAAAACACTTGAAAGATTTTCTGAAAAACTGTAAGCTCAGACGACGAGGTGCTCTTGTTTCACTTCAGCAATGCTTTGTTGTAAAATCAGCAAGGTAAATTCTGAATAACTTAAGCCCGGCTATTTTTACTAAAGCCTCACTGCCCATCGACGGTCACAATCGTTTGAATCTAATGGTCACGATTGCGTCCTTTCAAATTCATCAGTTATTCCTAACTGCGCCATTTATTACATCGCGTCACACAAGAACAATTGTTGGCTTCTCGAATTAATTCATATTATATTACTTTGTTTTCCTTTCTGGTTCCATTTCAAAAACCGATCCAAATCCAACCAAACCATATTAACTACTTCTTGAGTTAGTTCATATCCACCCATGATTTTTCATTTCGGCTCCGGCCGCACTACATGACCATGTGTCATGCTTTTTCACTTAGACTCTGGCTGTATTACATGACCACGTGTCATGCTTTTTCACTCCGGCTCCGACCACATTACATGACCACGTGTCATGTTTTTTCACTTCGGCTCCGATCGCATTACATGACCACGTGTCATGCTTTTTCACTTCGGCTTCGGCCACATTACATGACCACATGTCATGCTTTTTCACTTCAGCTCCGGCCATTCTACATGACCACGTGTCATGATTTTTTACTTCGACTCTGGCCATATACTACATGACCTCGTCATGCTACTCCCACTTTGGCCTTGGCCATTTACCACGACCTTGTGTCACAACACTTCTACTTTGATACAGACCATACATCATGACCTTGCACCATACTCGTCATTTACCCCTCGCCTTGGGCAATTACCCCCAGATCAAATACAAACCTTCATATCATGCACAAGTGAATGACTTCCGGGGGAGGGGGGGGGATAGTGTAGCAGTGGTAGTCCGAGGTCAAGTACCTCGGGCAGCCCGATCTACTCCCAACAACCTAGTCACCTTGACGTCAAGGAACAGCAAGCTCAATCGAGTTCGAGCTTGTCCCCTTTGCTCCTATTCTGCAGTGACTTCATACATACACAGATCTTTTAGGAGAGTTTCCTATGATCATTGACATATATAATCCTAATTGCCTGTGAAGAACAACATGTGGATGCCCCCTTTGAAGGCTACAAATACCCCCCAAGGGTCATCTTCAAAAGGTAATTGAAACTGAACTCAAGCTCAACTCTTGATTCATATCTAGTAGCTCTATTGTTGACTTAGGCATTAGAGTGTCTACCTCGAGGACCCACCTCGGGGCTTTGCAGGTTGACCAAAGTGAAGATTTGAGCTTGGGAGTACTTTGGAGTTCTTTTGCAACTACATAACTCACTTAAAGTTAACTCACAAGTCCTCTGCACAAGCGTAACATAGTTGCCACAAAACTAAGATCATTACATCAATCAACAAAATGCATTTCACTTAAAAAAAAGGGGTCGATTATTCATTCATTCTTCCTATGGTTCTTCAATGCAAATATTAAAGATTTTGCACATTCCACTGGATTAATACTCCAACCACAAAAGGAAAAGGAACTCCTGGTACTTTTCTCTCCAATCATCCTTTTGCATAATGTACTCTTAGTTAATTTCAAGAGTATGTCAAAACCAATGTGGTAAAAAATATAAATCATATACAATCAAAAAGGATGAATCATCAAGGTCATTGTTATAACACCCATAAATTTAGTTTTTTATTTTATGATCCAATATATCAAAAATGTATCTAAACAGTGTTCTAATCCAAAATTATGACCTTATCAACAACTATATTCCATCCATTAACACTTGTAAACAGGGACGGAGCCAATGTAGGACAAGGGGGGCAGTTGCCCCCCTAAGCTTTTGAAAATTTTCAAATATGGTACACTAATTTTTATTTTTTTACAAAATTTTGTTTTTTGAGGTTTTGAATTATTGGGACCATTTCAAATATAAAAGAAATATTTAGGATTTAGGTAAAGGAATTATTTCTCTCTTTGTGATTGGTTTTTAAGATATGATAATTTGGTTTAGGTAAGAAAAAATATTAAGAAATAGTCAACATCTAATTAATTACATTAATATAACTTATATAAGTCTTTACATTAGTTATATATAATTTTTTGTACAATTTATATACTATGAAAATAATAGTTGAATTTATTTTATTTATATAAATCAGATATTTCAAATATAAAGTTGTTTTGATATAGGAAACCTTTTAAAAAAATAAACTATATTTAGATACTATTTATTTAGGGATTTTAAAATTTATATTTTTCAAAAATAACTAAATATGTATAATGTTCTTAATAAAACTAAATATATCTAATTAATTTAAAGTTTTACATGCATAAATAAGTAATATATGCATAAAATAAAGGTTAAAACACCATTTTGGTCCCTGAACTATTGTACGGACCCCCGATTTGGTCCCTAAACTAAAAAAATCCCTGATTTGGTCCCTACTGTTTACCATTTTAACCCCGATTTGGTCCTTCCGTTAAATATCCACCTACGTGTCTTGTTACTTGACGGAGAAAAGGATGACATGTTAAAACATTTTGACACTTAGGATATACAGTGTGGCAAAAAAATGAGATGGCAAGAAATTACCTTAAAATTTTTCTTTTTTCTTTTTTCTTTCTTTGTTTTTCTTTTTTCCTTTCTTCTTCCTCTCCCTTTCCTTTCACCTTCTGCAAACCCTAACATTTCCTAATATTAAATTCGAGAATAACACAACAAACCAACAGATAGAAATCAATAGATCCTTTGATCCAACTGCAGTTAGATTGGAAACAAAATCCAACGCTTGCTAGGTTTGAAATCGAATCCAGCACCTGCAAGAATATGAGGATAACACAACAGATAACAAATCCATAAATAGATCGAACTCAATAGATCCAACGACCCAACGACTGCTGAGTTTGAAACAGAACCCAGCAGACAATAGATCGATAAACAAATGGAACTCAACAGATCCATTGACCCAACGATTGTTGGGTTCAAAACGGAACCCAGTGCCTGCTAGGTTCGAAATCAAACCCAGCACCTTCGAACCCAGCACTTGCAGGAACCCAGCGGCTACTGGGTTCGATGCTAGGTTCGATTGCTTGCTGGGTTCAAAATCGAACCCAGCACCTATGCCTTCTTCATCTTCATCCACCTGCAAAAACCCAAGGGCTGCCTTGCCTTCTTCATCTTCATCAATCAATTTCTCATATCATCAAACAACAAAACCCAAACAAAGGAAACAGAAATTTCTTTTTTTATTTTGGAACCCAAGGCTAGGTCTTAAGGAACCCAAGCATGCTGGGTATCGAACCTAGGTGCTGGGTTCAGTGGAACCCAGCAAGCCTGGGTTTCGTCGAACTTAGGCCACGCCTGGGTTCAAAGGGGAAAGAGAAGGGGAAGGGGAAGGGGAAGGGGAAAGAGAAAAGGAAAGAGAAGGGAAAAGAAAAAAAAAAATTGTTAACATTTATTTTTCATAATTTTTTTTATATTATTATTTTTTCCATATCATCATTTTTTTTTGTCTTATTGTCTTACACGTGTATTAATATTTGACATGTCATCCTTTTCCCCGTCAAGTAACAAGACACGTAGGTGGATATTTAACAGAAGGACCAAATCGGGGTTAAAATGGTAAAAAATAGGGATCAAATCAGGGATTTTTTTAGTTTAAGGACCAAATCGGGGGTCCGTACAATAGTTCAGGGACCAAAATGGGGTTTTAACCTAAAATAAATGACTGTTATAAAAATTAGTTTAAATTATATTAAGGTAAACTAATAAATAACTCATAAAAAAAATTTAACCTTTCCCCTCACCCCCTTAACTTCAATTTTTGGCTCCATCCTTGCTTGTAAATCTCATGTGGAAAGCCATCTTCATTTATGTCCCAATATTAAAAACAAAGTCAACTAGAGAGTATCTATATCTTAGATGAGAACCAATTGGGCAATGAAAATAACTTAGGTACTAACTAATCCAAATGAAGAAACTTTTAAGATGTGTCCAAAAAAAGAAGCCTTTAAGATGAAAATCAAAAAGTTTAAGAATCATAATGAGAATAAGGGAAGGATTGATGCTTGTGCTCACTCTCGTTACCGTTGATTTTGAAGGAGGCAATTCCCCTTGTGGTCATACCTATTCCTGTCTTAGATCTTGTCACTTTCTTACATAATGATTAAAATGAAACAACTTGGAGGATGGAAAACGTGTAGGAAAATTTCTAATTTAGTAATTTTTAGAGAGAAAAGTTGCATGCCATTTGAGAGAGTTAAGAAAAAGGAAGCTAGAGTTTGGGAGGAGGATGTGTTTAGGGATTTAGGACAAAAGGGTAAGAACAAAAATATATATTTTCATATGATAAACATGTGGGTTAACGTGTGATTCATTTGGGTCAATTTTATAAGTTATTAATAGGTTTGAGGTTGAGAGATGTATACCTTAACCCCTTTTTTTTTTTGTCTCCAATTTACTGATGAGTTAAAATTTGCCACCTCTAATTTTTTTTTTTTTTTTACAAGAGAAAATGGTTAGATTAATGTTAGTATCTGTTTGGTAAGCATGGGGACTTGAACGTGTGAACTTCACCTGCTCCTCCTCATGGAGAAGCGCGGCCCAACCAGTGGGCCGCATGGGGGAGTTCTTTGCCACCTCTAATTTATTTGAAGGATCAAGTCAAGCTGCTCAAGAAGAGAATTCGAGGACTAAATTGAAAGACGGCGAAAATGGACCCAAAAGACCCAGAAAGAGGAGGGGTATTAAACCCAATTGGGGCAATAAACCCAATTCGTTGAGTCCACAACAAAATCAAAGAAACAAAATACATATTCTAAGGATTCCCGGGGGTGGGGTGGCCTGGTTCACACAGCGGCAAACACTGTTCGCACCCGTCTCCCCTTTTTTATCTCTGATTTCACAGATATACCCACTTTCCCATCGGCTCCATCTCTTCGCCACACCCGTTTCCGTCTTCCGTCACCGATTTTTTTAGCACCGCCGCAGCAGCGTTGGATCTCTTTCTCTTTGTCGTTGAGATTTTTTTAAATTGCTTAAAGATAAGGGGATTTTTTCATCTCATAAGAAAAACAAAAATATATGCAAGTTTAAAAAAGCAAAGCCCAAAACGGATCAGACGGAGATCCGCGAGCTTCAAATGGAGTATCGGAAAATCAAAGACGAGGTATCCATAGGGTTCATTCTTCATCAAAATCTAGTTTACGCAACTAAATTAGCATCATTTTTGCTTCTTCTTTTATCCCTTTTTCACGATTTCAGATTCACACCTCCTTTCTTCAATTTGCATTTTCTTTTTTTTTGTGAATTTGCCGCTGATTTGTGCCTAATTAATTTACTTTCACTATGAATTCCGAGTGTTTGGAGTAATTCTTGCTAAAAATTCGATCAACTTTTTGTTGTTTCACTGGATCTGTGTAATCACGCTTCTCTATTCTTATATACGAATAATTTTTCTTTCATAGGATGAAGATGGAGCTGGAGCTGGTGCGGACATTGAGGGCTTGCGGGGAAAAGCCTTTTCGAGCTGTATGTTGTTTGCTAGGATTAAAGCATAATTTATTTTTGAATCTAGTGCAGTCCTCCATTTTGTAAAACATTCCTGATTGTCCTTATAATTGGTTATTTTGGGGCAGCTGCTGTAAGTAACATGCCTCCTGTTGAGAGGTCCAAGTGGAAGCGCAAGTAAGAGCTGCTCTTGCAATCTTGAGCTGTAGCTTCATTAATTTCAAATAGTAAAGGAAATTTTTTTAAAAAATTGGGTTGATTTCTTGTTCTTTTTTCTTGTATTCTTGTGTAGAACAATTGTTACACTGGCATTGACTGTTCTAACGAGTTCTCAAGCAGTACTTATCGTCTGGTCCAAGAGAGCGGGGAAGTATGAGTATAGTGTTACCACTGCAAACTTTTTGGTGAGTGAATCATTATTCTTGATATGACTTGAAGAATGGCCATAAGAAACTTTGAAGTTATGGTTGCTCAGGCAACTTTTGACATTTGAATTTAAGTTGATCATTTATTTTATCGCTTCCTTCTTTTCTTGGGAATCAGGTGGAGACTTTGAAATGTGCATTATCACTTGCAGCCTTGGCAAGAATATGGAAAAATGAAGGTGTTACAGACGATAATAGGTAAGCTTTATTGATTATTACTTAAGGTTGCAGTGGTTTGGGGCATTGCATCTTTTCTTTCTAGTTTCTTAAGAAACTATAATGGGAGTATAGAACCTTTGAAAAAACTGATGATTGAATGCTTCAAACACTTCTGTTTTAGTAATTATATTTTTTGTATATGAAGTTAAGGGATAAGTTTGCACAATTGCTCTTATTTTAAATACCAATTCTTTTGCACAGAGATAGTTTACTTGTTGTTAAGCATTGACTATATATATTATGTAAATTGGTTGCTTGTGAAGATGATTCTTTTGGGTTGAATTAAAGACATTTTCCATGTGTTGCTAACCATGTGTGTTCCATGTAAGCGTTAGTGACTATGATTGACATTCTGTTTTCATTCTGCTATTAAACCAGGTTGAGTACAACACTTGATGAAGTTAGCGTTTACCCCATCCCTGCTGCTCTTTATCTTGTCAAGAATTTACTTCAGGTCAATTTTGCATGTTCTTTTGTTTTCAAAGTAGTAATATTATTGCTCTTATTTCTTCATTTTTCATGATTTTCAATTTTTTATTGCAGTATTACATCTTTGCCTATGTTGATGCTCCGGGTTATCAGATACTGAAGAACCTGAACATTATTAGTACTGGTGTTTTATATCGTATTATACTTAAGAAAAAGTAAGTTCTTTATGATCTTGCATGCCATATGTTTTCTAATTGGCTGAAGTTATTTACAAAAATCCATTACAAGTTGATTGACAGATGAGAAGACTTTTAGACTTTTAAACTTTCCTATAACATTTCAGAATTCGGTTGATTTATTTGAAAGAGGAACTGAACAAAAATTGAATAGTTGTAGTTGTTGACAATATATGTGTGTGTAGAATATAGGCATAGTTTGTTCCTTCTATCTAACTTCTGATTCTGAAGTCATTGTTACCAGCTTTGACCTTTGTTCTTCCACTTTGTGTTAATGATATCATCAATGAGTATAAGCAGAATATCAGCTTTGCAATTCTCATTCAGAAGAGAATTGACTGTAGGTTAGAGTTAATGAAGAAAGGTTCATACATACACTAGCAGAAGATAAACCTGAAACAATTATGATGCAAGGGATCCTTCTAATTATTGGTTTGGTTTCAGATTGAGTGAGGTTCAGTGGGCAGCATTCATTCTTCTATGTGCCGGTTGCACCACAGCACAGCTGAATTCACGGTACACCATTTAAATTGAATCTTTGATTTTATATGGGTCCAAAGTTCTGAGTAATGAAGATACTGCTAATGCTTGTACTTATTCAATGACCTTGGTTATCATCTGGGAGCTGTTGTGTCTGTGATATGTCATACTTGGAAAGAACTATATATAATGTTCCTGGCAATTGTTTCTTGTGTATGGCCTCATCATACATACATGCATGCATACATACATACATACATACATACATACAAATATATACATATATTATTATTATTGTTATTATTATTATTATTATTATTATTTTCCAGCCGTTAATATTTGTAATCTTTATCTGGTATTTAATCTTGTCTGTGCCTTGGCCAAAAAAAAAAAAAAAATCTTGTATGTGCCTTAGATTGTAACCTTTTTTCTTTTGTGCAGATCTGATCATGTTCTTCAAACACCTTTTCAGGGTTGGATGATGGCTATTGTAAGTTAACATGTTTTAAGCAGTTAATCCAATGAAGTGAAACATGAAAAAAATTATTTTATTGCTAATGAAGGCTTGTTATAATAAGGACGAGTAATTGCTTTGCAGGTGATGGCACTTTTAAGTGGTTTTGCAGGAGTATACACTGAAGTGAGTTTCTTTAGACACTTTTTCCACTCAGTTTCTCCATTCACAGAGAGAGAGAGAGAGAGTTCTATTCTGAAGTGTAAAATTTCTTGACTTAGTTTCCTAGAAGTTTTATGTGTTTTTCTTGTGTTATGACAGGCTATTATCAAAAAGCGGCCTTCAAGAAACATAAATGTGCAGAATTTCTGGTTGTACGTCTTTGGGATGGCCTTCAATGCTGTTGCAATAATAATTCAAGACTTTGATGCAGTCATGAACAAGTAATCCAAACTACTGTCCTTATGCATGTGTAACTTTATTATCAGTCAGTGCTTCTTCACGGAAATGAAAAACCCTTCTATTCACTACTTTGAACAATGCTTTGTTCTTATACATTAGTTAGTGCTAGATTTTTCTACCCATCAGTTATATTCTGACAGTGTTTCTTTTTTTGTTCTTTAGGGGTTTCTTCCATGGATATTCTCTGATTACAGTTTTAATGATTCTTAACCATGCACTCAGGTATTACCTCTTTTCTGGCTTCATCAAGTTTATTTGTGTTTGAATGCTAACTGCCTTTTCTATTTTATAGTGGGCATTTCATATTAGAAACTCTTGTAATCTTGTTCAACTGTTCTCTTGAATTGAAACCTGTGATTGCTAGACAACACTGTAAATGGCATCAGAATTACAGTACTATTGCATAGAAGTTTCTTTTTCATGGAATATATGTATGGTATCATTTTTTCTTGAAAAAACAACTTATGCAGTTACTAATTAATGGATAATTTATGCTTTTGTCTTC